TGAGATCAATAAAGTTCAATTATTATCATAACACAGAAGGTTATCGCCTCCAAATTTCTACTGATGTTTCATTTGATGATACAACTCAGGGCTAATACAACTCTGAAATAGAGCTTTGTGATAAATTACATTGACCAATAAAAAAGAATTTAAAGTAAATACGTTTTCTGTCCTACAAAGTCACTAAGAACACTGGTGACTAGAGAGATGTCCAGCAGGCATTCGCTGATCAAAACTTGTTGTCGTTAAAAAGCTGGTTGTTCACAGAGTACTATATCCACATATACTAATGGAAAGTATAATAGAGGAGAAAATGTTTGAAAGGTTGAAAAGCAACATGGATGTGCAAAGCCCACTGAGGCATTTGGAGGAGATTCAGAAAGTTTAGAATGCGGCTGGAGTCAGAGCTTCCAGAGCCTCTTTGTACAGCTTTTACTGGGACCAACTGGATGTTCTGTTTTTCAACCTTTTGACATAGAAACAGGCTCTGCTTAATTGTTTCTTTGCTAGACAAAGGCCATCTGTGGAGCTAGTTTACAGCTACCTTTTCTGACATGAAAATATAAAATTATTTAAAGATCAGAGCTTTTTCTGGAGCTTTTTAGTCTTTTTTGTGTCCTGTTTTGCCAATATAAATGATGATAGCCCAAAAGATTTAATTTCACAGGCAGACCAATATGACTGTTGCTATAACGTTCTGCTTGGTACTTGTAGATTAAACTTCATTGAAAATAATTTTGAGGGTAAAATCAAATACAAGGGAGACAGAGACAGAAAGGGAGGTGAGAAAGAAAGAGGGAATAAGAACTAAGGGGAGAGAGATAGATGCAGGAAAGAGTGCATGAAAACATCGATCCAATTTCTATCTTGCTTATCCCTACTTGGGTCGCAAGGGGTGCTGGTGCCTATCTCTAGCTGTCAGCGGTGTCAAAAGTACACACATTTGTTACTTAAGTAGAAGTATAGATACTGCAGATACTGGTAAAAGTTGAAGTATCAACTTGACCTCTTTACTCAAGTAAAAGTGAAAAAGTATATGCTCCAAAAACTACTTCAAGTATTAAAATATAAAGTAACCTTTAAAAGAAAAACAGTCAGATGCCACTATATGAATTGAAAGCTAAATTTTTCAACTATTTCGAAAAATTCTTTGAGATAGGATGAGGGAGGTCTTGTTGGTCTCTGTCTCCATCTCCAGATACGCTCTTGCCTGTGTCCGACCTTTCAGACATTTCAACATCTTTTTTGTAGCATGGCATAGACAATTCACGTTTGCAGTTTGAAGAACACCTGCTTGCTTCTGATGATTTCCTTTAGCTAACAAATAAGTGTTTGCGTTATATGACTCATCCAATTACACTAGTTTTCACTCGTCGATTGCGCCAATGATCCGTATTAGATGGTGCACATGACGTGAAATAAATATTTATAAACATTAAACCAGGGGTAACCAATTAAAAATCAGCAGGGTACAAAAAGAAAATCATCAACCAGTAAAGGTCCGGAGACATTTTTAATGATCTGTTACTGAAAACAGAATTTAACACTGAAATTAAGTGAAGTGATGCATTCATGTTATACATAGAATTTTTAAATACAAAAAAAAAAAATGTAAATTTCCAAAAATTGCATCCCATGCTATCTCAGAGGAGTTGACACTTGTATGACTGTATTCCTGTATATCCATCAGTAGTTAAAGGACAAGGGTCAGCAAATACAAATTCTGCCCTGTAAAACAATGACAGCGCAATTGTCGCTGTATGATCTTAAGCCTCATTTGGAGCTTTTAAACAGGCTTTTGAAAAACTTTTTTTTGAATAAAAAGCTAGCAGATGTGCAAAATCACAAAATAACAGAAATACAATTATATAGCATTTAGTATTGTAAGAAAGCCCACACTGTTTCTGAATAAATACATTATTGTGTGAGTTAAGTTCTGTTCCGTTTGTCTCTTTAATTGTAAGTGTGAAATGTCCCATGCTCCTGAATGCACCATAGCTATCAGATGCTTGTGAATGCATCATACTGGTCTATGAATGCTGTGCTGTATAGATGCACGCTTGATTTTCATCAAAAAAATTTAAGACAAAAAAGCTTTTCAGGTTCCAATCTGATGTCGGCTATCACTGTTTATTGTTGTGAATAACAAGAGACTACAACAAATAAATCAGCTGTACCCAGGACAAAATCTTTGGATTTAATGTTGTTCATAACACCCGTACTTTTATAAATTAATCTGCCATCACAGGGCAACAGAGACAAACAGGACAAACAAACATAGCGAAGCCAATTAACCTAACAGTCATGTCTTTGGACTGTGGGAGGAAGCCAGAGAGAACCCACTCATGCTCAGGGAGAACATGCAAACTCCTTGCAGAAAGAGCCAGGCCAGGAACCAACCCCAGATCTTCTTGCTGCAAGTCGGCAGTGCTACCCACTGGGCCACTGAGCAGCCCTGCATGAAAACAGAGAAAATAAAGCAGAACACCAAAAATAGACTGCTTCCACACCTGTATAAGATGAGAGGGAAAGAAAACAAAGAACATATCAGCAGCAAAAAGAAGTCTGCTTCTATCTTCTTAAACCCCAGTTGGCCTTGAAAGATGGCCGCTCACACTGAGCCTGGTTCTGCTATAGGTTTCTACCTGTTAAAAGGGAGTTTTTCCTCTCTATTTTTGCGGCATCAATGCTCGATGTGAGAGATTGATGTCAACAACATTCTCATCCAGGAGAAGTGACTCCTGTAGAGGTAGTGACTGGATGCAGCCAGATAATTTGCTTTAGATAGAAACTTTTAACCAAACTGATGGAATTAAATTGTTTTTGCAAATTGCCTTAAGATGACATGTTTTGAATTGATGAATTGGTTGTGAATTATTTTCTATCTAAACGATGGGATACAGAACTCTATGAAAAACAGCTTTTCGTGTTTTGGCATATGTTCATACAGCCCAAAGTAGAAACACTAGAACCCTAGAGAGAATCTATGAGCTGTTGTGAAGAGGAAAATGAGAGGCACCAGAACCAACAATGCAGATGTGCTGAGTGCTGCTATACTGCAATGATGCTGTAATTCATTTAGAAGGAGCACAGGCCAAGTGCTTATTTGGGATACAGAACAAAACCTGGTGGGTACGGATCCGTAGCAACATGTTTCTGGATTAATATAATGTATTTTGTTTAATTTTCTTTCCATATTCTGAGAAATCACAATATATGTATTGCATTTATTAACTGAGAACTGTTTAGCCTGTGACCGTATGTGTTTTTAGTGTTTGATAGATGCTGCCTCAGCTGCATGCAGACGTGACGGAATGTAGATCCATCAGATCTTTACAGCAAGTAAAATCCCTCCAAGTCAAGTTCAATCAGGCCTAAGAACACTGGTGACTACAGAGATGTCCATATATATATATATATATATATATATATATATATATATATATATATATATATATATATATATATATATATATATATATATATATATATATATATAAACAACATGTTCTTTCTTTGTCTAAGGTTTGATAAACTGCAAATTGGGAAATAAAAAAGCTACCATCTTAAATGTTCTGTCGCTGAAAGTGGAGATGGGTTCAAGTGGTCTAATAACATTCACTTAAATATTGTATGTTCATAAAGAAAAGGAAGGTTTTGTTGTACAGAATTGAGCCATTTGAATATTCTGGGTCTTGATCCTTTTCTGATAATACTATGAAATGTCCCTTTCCTTTGACTGCACTTTGCTCAGCAGGTAAAACTCAGCGGGTGTGAATAGCTGCTGCTCATTATTCTGCTGCAGATTTTCTTAATAGATGGAATGATGGGTCACATCATAGAAATATCAAAGAGCAGCAGCTGATTGGTTGCTGATTGGTCAGTGATCAGAGGTCACGGTGAGCTCACTTCACCTCACATGACGTTCATTCAAAGATCCAGGAAGACCTGAAAGAACTTCTTCAACATCAATAACAAATAAGAAGGTGATTCCGACTGAACGGGAAGAACATAAAGTTTCTGAACTGATAGAAGAGAGAGAGACAGCTTAACATAATGTTTGATCTTTCACAGGAGCAACGACGTCATCTCTCAGGTTTCGCCTCAAAATCAAAGGAATAACAGACTAAAGCTGAGCTTTATCCATACTTTGTTGCCCCCTTTAGTCTGCAAAGGATCACTGCAGATAAATGTGAAGCGATATAAAAGTATAATTTAATGAGCCACCAGGACCATCAGCTCGAAATAAATGTTTTAATAAAGATTCAGGATACATTTTTAAATCCTTGTAGTTTTAATTTTGAGATTTTTCTGTTTTCTTGCATAAAATCTAAACAAATTTCAACGTTCTTACCCTGGGCGATCAACTTTTAAACCTTTGCAATAGCTTTTTATATTATTTTTGGCTTTAGAGTCCTATCGACCTTTACATAAATCTCTGATTATGTATTACAATTTGTTCCCCCCCCCCTTTTTAAAATGTTGCTGCTATTATGCAATAGCTTACAGTTTATGTCTGTGATCCTCCAAATCATTTTATAAAATTAGTTTATAGAAGATGAATGTTTATAAATGTTCACACATGTTGCGAATTTCGGCTTTAAAAATTACTTTAACAGAATCACTGATAAAAAAAAATGCAACCGTTTTTGGCATTTACTTAATTACATTTAGTTACTTTAACACAGTTGTTTTATGTCCTACTCTGCTAACATAAAACAATTGTGTTAAAGTAACTAAATATGATTAAGTAAATATCAAAGAACGGTTGCATATTTTTTTTTTCAGTGAGAAATGATCCTGATGCTTCTAACCTCGGAGTTTCTGTTGTAAAACTTTGAATAAAGATAGAATAGAATTATAGAAATAAATATCAAATAAAGAGCAAATAATAGTTATATTAAATATTTAAATTAAACCCACTCAAGTTTTAGAATAATAGAAGCTGTGAATATCAGATTAAATGTTAAAGAATCAGTAACAGAGCCATCCGAAGATCTGAAGACATCAAATGATTCTGAGGTCTAATCATCCTCTGATGTCTGACTGAGCATCAAACAGACCCATTAACACCTTCAGGAGCCTCCAAGGTTCTGCTGGATGCTGCTCTGATTAAAACCGGACCAGCAGAACCCACAACTCATCCAAAGTGACCAGAACATGGACGGAAGCAGAGTGTCGGACTTTAGCATCGAACGCATCCTTTCTCCACATCTGGGCCGAAAACTGCTGGACCCAACACAGGACGGATACATGCGTTTGGTACCGGGCGGGTTCAGGCTGGAATCAACCAGCTCATGGGTCCCTGCGCCGGTTCCTGTGCCGTTCCGGGTGCCGGGCTGTCTGCAGTACCGAGGAATGTGCTTCGGCGAAGGGTTCTGTTCGTGCACCGCCAGGTTCCACCACGCAGAGATCAGGTTCTGCACACATTTCGGTCCAAACCCTTCAGGTAGGTCAGAACCTTCACCTAGTCTATTATTTCTATATCACCTCTTTAAATAATCAAACTTTTAGAAATGTATTTATTTTTATATTTATCTTTTTTTTTGACCCAAGAAAGTTTTAAAACATCACAAAGCGGGGGTCCGATCCAGTGCAGAGCGAAGGCCCGGATGAGGACGGTGTTCACAGACTGTCAGACCAAACAGCTGGAGGCGCTGTTCGAGCTCACTGACTACCCAGGGATGGAATTACGGGCCGAGCTGGCCCAGAACACCGGGCTGAGCGAGGAGACGGTTCGGGTGAGTGTCCAATGGTTCCGAGTTTACAGAATTATTTAAATACTACTAGAGCCAGGATAAGATCAAGGTTTGTTTCCTTTGTAGCAAAAGCTTCTGTAGCAAATATTGCAAGGTTTTTTTGACTCTGAAGAACTACATGGTGATGGATTCCTCAGTTTCTGGCTTTGTTCTCCTTTTTTGTTTCCTCTGCTTGTTGAATTGTTTATTTCTCCCTCAACGGGCCCAGTTTGGATCTACTTAGGCTCTTCTCAAACTGGAACGAAAAGCGGTTAAATATCTACTAAAGCTCTAGAAAGGCTGGAGATCACAAGAGCATTGAGATCTAGATGTGGTTTTAGGGTTAACAATGCTGGTTAAACATTGGGTTTAGATTGGACTTTTGGGATCAAAAGATGTTCTCCAGAACATCTCACACTTTTTTTTTTTTTTTCCCAGGTTTGGTTCAAGAACCGCCGGGCCCGGAGAAAGAGGCATCACAGTGGGCCAAAGGTCAAATCACCGTCACCATGCGAGAAAAAGAACTCTCAGACAGAGGGTGGATCAACCTGCTGCTGCTCAGTGGCACTTCAGCAGGACAGGTTCAAAGTCTGGGATTCTTCAGCATGAAGCTACTTGTGGTGCTAGAAATTCCGGATATTAGAGGACAGTTTTCTACTTGAATTGGAATAACTTATTATTGAACACAAACTTTGGGCTTTTATGATTTTCCCTGCGAATAAATTTACTTATTCAGAGGTAAGAATTCTCCTGTGATTAATCTGCCATCCATCCAGAGGTGGATTAAATAAAGGGATCATATTTGAAAGATTGCATTTTTTTGGGCCCCTCAATGTTATTTATAAATTGATATCTGAATCTTAGCAGTTTCTAAAAAAAGTCAAATCACATTTTACATTTCATTTTTTTGTCAAAATAATTGGTCATATATTAAACTCAAATATTTTAGTATCACCGTATTTATGTGTTGCTACAAGGCTCTATTAGATGTATATATTTATCCTCATCTTATTCATTGTGAATCTCATTGTTAAGGCAGTAGTATCAGTAAATCACCATTAAGTGTTAGCTTGCAATGTAAACACATCGTATAGATAATGTTGTAAGCTATTGCATTTTACAGAATATCTTCCTTAAATGTTTTGATTAGATTGAATAGTCTAATAAGTAGCCAAATGCAAAAATAACTACATTTGAAGTGAAAGAAACTGTGCTGCAGTGATATTTTCATGGACAAGCATCACTTCTCTTCAATCTTAGGATATTCAACACTCAGAAGCTCATCTCGCCTGGTCTGGACTGCTTAGCAGTTTTCTCCACAGATCTGGATGGTTCTCCGGACACTGTACTGTGTAAACAATCAATAAATCACTTGATCATTATATTTGAACCAAGTCAGATTTGTTCATTTATTTAATGACCTGAACCGACAGTGACGGAAAACTGAAATGTGTAAAACTACAAACTGACTGCCCGACTTAGTCCTGATTCCTGACCCGGTCCTACACTCCCTTCGACTGAAATGATTGCCGTTAATGTGACGTAAAGAAATGTTAGGTTTTAGCGTATTAATATTGATATATTAACACTAGAATACATTTTTGATCACACACACACACACGTATATATATTTTTTATTTTATTGTTTTTGTCCCCCTGTCTGCTCTCAATAGCACTCTCTTTAAATTTATGAAATGACCCACTGCTTAATAGGTTACAGAAACTCAACTTATAATACTTTAACAAATACAACCTGTAGCCTTTTAACTAAAGACGAGATTTAAATTTAAAGCAGATGCATGTATATTTTATAAAACGACAGGGGATAACAGCTGATAATCTATTTTCAAATTTTGCAGTCTCACTTGGTCCAAAATATAAATTGCCCATATACAGGTGCTGGTCATAAAATTAGAATATCATGAAAAAGTTGATTGATTTCAGTAATTCCATTTAAAAAGTGAAACTTGTATATTATATTCATACATTACATACAAACTCATATATTTCAGATGTTTATTTTGTTTAATTTTGATGATTACAAATGACAACAAATGAAAATCTCAAATTCATCATATCAGAAAATTAGAATATTGTGAAAAGGTTCAAAATTGATGGCCCCTGGTGCCACACTCTAATCAGCTAATTAACTCAAACCACCTGCAAAAGCCTTTAAATGGTCTTTCAGTCTAGTTCTATAGGCTACACAATCATGGGGAAGACTGCTGACTTGACAGTTGTCCAAAAGACGACCATCGACACCTTGCACAAGGAAGGCAAGACACAAAAGGTCATCGCTAAAGAGGCTGGCTGTTCACAGAGCTCAGTGTCCAAGCACATTAATAGAGAGGCGAAGGGAAGGAAAAGATGTGGTCGAAAAAAGTGTACAAGCAAGAGAGATAACCGCACCCTGGAGAGGATTGTGAAACAAAACCCATTCAAAAATGTGGGGGAGATTCACAAAGAGTGGACTGCAGCTGGAGTGAGTGCTTCAAGAACCACCACACACAGACGTATGAAAGACATGGGTTTCTGCTGTCGCATTCCTTGTGTCAAGCCACTCTTGAACCACAGACAGCGTCAGAAGCGTCTTGCCTGGGCTAAAGAGAAACAGGACTGGACTGCTGGTGAGTGGTCCAAAGTCATGTTCTCTGATGAAAGTAAATTTTGCATTTCCTTTGGAAATCAAGGTCCCAGAGTCTGGAGGAAAAGAAGAGAGGCACTTCATCCACGTTGCTTGAAGTCCAGTGTAAAGTTTCCACAGTCAGTGATGGTTTGGGGTGCCATGTCATCTGCTGGTGTTGGTCCATTGTGTTTTCTGAGGTCCAGGGTCAACGCAGCCACATACCAGGAAGTTTTAGAGCACTTCATGCTTCCTGCAGCTGACCAACTTTTTGGAGATGCAGATTTCATTTTCCAACAGGACTTGGCACCTGCACACAGTGCCAAAGCTACCAGTACCTGGTTGAAGGACCATGGTATCCCTGTTCTTAATTGGCCAGCAAACTCTCCTGACCTTAACCCCATAGAAAATCTATGGGGTATTGTGAAGAAGAAGATGCAATACACCAGACCCAACAATTCAGAAGAGCTAAAAGCCACTATTAGAGCAACCTGGGCTATCATAACACCTGAGCAGTGCCACAGACTGATCGACTCCATGCCACGCCGCATTGCTGCAGTAATACAGGCCAAAGGAGGCCCAACTAAATACTGAGTGCTGTACATGCTCATACTTTTCATGTTCATACTTTTCAGTTGGCCAACATTTCTATAAATCCTTTGTTTTTATTGGTCTTCAGTAATATTCTAATTTTCTGATATGATGAATTTGAGTCAATAAAAGTAAATTAGAATTTTTTATTGACAAATTAGCTTAATCTCATAAACTGCGGAGAGCTCAGGGCATTTGGCAGAAGACCCTGATGGTTTAAATTTAGGAGTGATGGCACTGCACACCTTATACCCTTTTTTCCCCCAGAACATTATGATTCAAAATTGTCTATAAACATTTAAATAAAGACAAATAGACATAAAAATACAAAAACATCAAATTCTTTATTATATTGATAGCTAATATCTGAAGCATTTTCATGCTGGGCAGATAAAGACTGATAATGCAACACTCAGAGAATACTGAGGGAGGAGGTTACATATGGAGAGCATGCAGTGAGTGTATCTGAGAGGAATCATCTTCCTTCTCCTGCTTCAGCATCAGGATCCAACATGTTTTTACCAAGCAGGACCAACCTACTCACACAGGTTATAAGGGCCCTTGTCATACCTTGCAGATTTAGCCAGCATATGCCTGATGTCTTCTAAAATGCTGGCGTATGGTGAACTTTCTATGTATTTTTTCAATGTTGGGAGTATACACAGAGTATTCATAACAAGTGCAGAGCTTATGTCCTACAACAGCCTAACTTATGCTTAACGAACGGCAGTGTAATGCCCAAGAAATGATGCACAAGCCGGTGTTCTGAGGGGGTCAGCGATGCACCCGGAGGTGCTCGACCTGCATAAAAAGAATTCTTTGATCACGTTATTAACCCATCTGCTGTTTAGTGCTCAACAACCAAAAAAAAAGAACTAATAAATAAGAAAAAAGAATCATGGCTGCTAGGAAGTTTGTTGATGGTGGCCGTGAACGGATCCATCAAACTCACCTTCTCGCTCACCCTATGATGGGGATGTGGTCTGGAGAACTAACGGTCTACCCGTGTGAACCCCCTCAAACCAAAACACTGCCAATACTCTATCATACAGTAGCTGAAAGTTAGAAACACGTTCAGTGGTTGTCAGGAACACGTCAGATACATTGATATGTGACTTATGGGTAACTTACACTTTATGTATGTCAACGATGAGGTAACTTACCTGTAACTTATGACCCACATATGAGCATATACTGGCATATTTTGGGAAAGTTTGAGCATGCTCAAAATATCTCAACGTACTCGTTGTGACATGTTCTACCTTGCTTTAATGCGCTCATAACAAAACAAAACATACCCATAACTTAGCCAACATATGCCAACTTTTTTGCCAGATTTCTCGTATGTGAGGAATATGCTGGTCTAAATTGTCAAGGTTTGACAGGGGCATAACCGAGCACACAATTAATAAAACACGAAAACAAAAAGATACACTTAGTGAAGTTATCAAAATATAGGCTATAAACCATAGATCATTAAGACTTGTTCATGATGAAACAACCAGTACTTAGTTGGTTCTTAAGTACAACACACGTTTCCAGGACAGAACCAGAGATTCTGATCGTTCTAGTCCAGTAATCACAGAACTTGACGACTTTACCTTCATACTGGCTTTGTTTTAAATGGATTCTAAAAATTTTAGTGTGTTCACTAGGTAATTCTACTTAAGAAAAAATGTAAACGAACACAAACATTTTAAATGAGATATCTGTACCGTAAAATTCCGTTGGTACTGAACTGAACCAATCTGAACCAAAGGCAAGGCCTGGAAAAAGCAGCAAATAATATTTGTCATAAGACAGTAAAACAAAACAAAAACTCCTAGATAATCATGCAAAGAGTTTAGGTTAAGTTGAGGTTATACGGACACCTGGTGGCCAAACCACGAAACACTACACGTCGACAAAATTGAAAGTGAAGTGGCTTCACTGGGACACGTTGACCGTACTGTAACTTTATGTTTACTGTACAAAGACTAACTTCCACCATCACTGTGGCCCACAAAAGGTAATGCTTTGCTGAGATAAAAGAATTAGCAGATCCTGAATCTGTGGAACATTAGCTTTTTATACAGTAACTAACAAAAGCTGCACTGTGGCGAAACATCTTGTTGGGTGAAGTATGAAGAGGGAAAATGCTTTGTGTGGATTAACTCCTGGGTTCTCAAGCTTGAGGGTAGATCAAAAGAATCAAAAAGAGTAGGAAGGTAAAGCAATGAGTCTTCTGCATACTGTTAGATTTGATACAGTCTGTTGACAAAATATCTTTTGACAGGGTTCTTTTTTTGGCAGAAAGGTCACTACATTTTAGTTTTAATCATGCAGCAAAAAACTTCTGGTGGAATTACTGTTTAATTTGATTAGTTGCAAATGCAAAAAAAGCAGCTGCTCTGCAGGAAAGGGAAGGTGTTTGTAACTATAAACCCAAAGCTTAATGATCACCCAAAGTGGGTCTAATAGCCAATTTTCATTCACCCCTAAAGTGTGAGAGTTTTAGAGATCTCTGTTGTGAATATGATAAGGAATCCTCAAGATAAAAATCAGTGATTTTTTTAAAGCTGATACACAAAAAGAAACATTATTTACAACAGCAACCATAATGCTTTCTTTAAATAAGGCTAAGAGACTCAAAAGATCCGTCAATATTGTTGGCACATTACTGAGAAAAAATTTAAATAAGATTGGGCTATTTAAATACTTTCTTGGAAGTGATCATATATTAGCATCTTGATATTAACAGAATTGAAGTTTCAATTCAACCAGACAAAAACAAAGAGTTTCATGGGTAATATGCAATAAATATTGGCTGATTTCTTGAAATATTTTGTACATTTCATGAAAGGAATCTGATTTTAGAGACCTGTGAGTTATGATCTGAATATTTGAGCCTAAATAAGCAAACGTTTTTTATTTTTTTTATAAAGAGGGGTCCATTTCAAAACGCAGGTTTACTGAAAACTCTAAGTTTTCTAAAGATGATATCAGGGAAGCTCTGAGTATTCTGTTTCACAAATAGAGTTTCCTCAACCTCTGTTTCTTTTACCAAAATAACATTCTCCCCAAAGCTAACCTGGTCGATACCGGTTTTTGTGTGAGTGTCCTTTGTCTCCACTCTCTTTACAGCCAACAGACTTCCTGTCTGACATGGGGCAGCATGTGAAGCTGGGAAAACATACCTCCGACTCGCAGCTCATCAGCATTGGTTCCCCCAGGGCTGTACTCTTTCTCCTTTGCTCTTCTCCCTGTACAGCAACTCCCTCACCAAGAAAGCCCAGCAGATGATGTACTTCCTGCAGCAGCTAAAAAAAATTCAACCTGCTGAGGACAATGATGGTTCAGTTCTATTTCTCCATCATTGAGTCCATCCTCACCTCCTCCATAATCATCTGGTACGCTGGTGCCACCACCAAGGACAAGAGCAGATTGTCTGGTCTGCTGAGAAGACTATTGGCTGCAGTCTTCCATCTCTCCATGATCTATACACCTCCAGGACTCTGAGCTGTTCATGGAAGGTTGTGGTTGATCCCCACACTCCAGCCACATATTATTTCAGTCACTTCCCTCTGGCAGGAGGCTGCGGCCCAACAGGACCAAAACCTAATGCCACAAGAACAGTTTCTTCTCATCTGCTACCAGCACTATCAACAAGGCCCAGAAACCCCCGTGACACTGCCTCTCTACCTTCCTGTTCAGGACCTAGAAGATACACCAATGAAGCATCTCCACACCTTCTGCGTTACATTAATGCACAGCCACTGTGTATATTGTACATATCTATATACTATATTTCATGTAATATATTGTACATTTATATTGTATATAACTATGGATCCTGTATTCCATATATATATCTAAAATGTCTGCACCATCAACACCAAGTCAAATTCTTTGTTACTGCAAACTTACTCAGCAATAAACTTGATTCTGATTCCGAACAGGTTCTATATATTATATAATGTTTTTATTCTTCATCTTCTCCTGCTGCCAGGTGATTTCACCTAAACAGATACACCAATCTACCATTCAAGCAATAAACTAGTTTTTTTCCGTCATGTGATTACAACAGCCTATGGAAGTTCATTTTATTGTGTATTAGTTTGACTGAATATGTAAAAGCATTTTTTCCTTGTTACTATTTCATACAAAATGACATTGTTCACATCTAGAATAACCATTCTTGATGTCTCGAAATGATTTTCAGTTCTCCTTATTCCTATCATTACTGGTCATTATTGGTATTATTTTTACTATATAGAAATGTCATGACATTTCATATATCATATATACATATTCAGTCAAGCTGATTAATGTCAAAAAGGCTACTTAAAATGTGTTAACATATTTATACCTAGAAAATTTAATTCCTAGTTGTTGGTTTTTTGCTTCCCGAAATTCAGTTTTTGCTGCAATCATGTAATTTAACAAATTTTATTATTATAGGTCCGACTAGGGGTTTGATTTACTACTTACTTTTGAAATCTAAAAATGGAACAATAAAGAAAAGAGTGCTTTTAATATATGTTAAAAAAGCCTGCTCAAAAAAACAAAAACAAAAGAACAGTCTGTCACACCTTTATATAAACCGAACCATGAACTTGAGCAGAAATCTTATTTTAAGCCATTTTCCTCTCCCTTGTAGCTGCAGTGCTGTCGCTTGGTCTTTTGAACACTATGCAAATAGTTTTTTCATTACCTCATTAAAATCTCTAGTTCCAGTGGTGTGTAATAGGAACTTCCTCTTGCTTGTCATGGTGACTCGTTGCATCAGGGCTCCACTGATAATGGCTTTTCATATCCATGTGTTCAACTCTGAGTGGACGTACTCAGGGTTGATTGAGTTTCAGATTTTAGGCCGGATCAAGTTGAGGATTTAAATCTGAGTTTTTTTAGACCTGCTTTGTGAAACTGACCCCTGGTCTTCAAATTTATAAATGAACATGAATGTAAGTCATAAAGGATACCAACTTTCCGTGTTGATAAAGCATAATTTCCGTACTTTTCATCTCAGCCATTAGAGCAGGTTTGTTTAGAGTTTATATTTTTAAATTGTATATCAAGGGAACAATCTCCACACAAAGCTGCCATTACAAATTTCATTTCTAGAATAGGATTTCAACATTTAGGACAAAAGGTTAATAGTTCCTATTTTAAATAGCTGCAGATGTTCTGATATTCCAAACTAGAAGCAGGAAAAAAATTAGAAGAATCAAGGAGGGACGAGAGAAGGAGAGGAGAAAAAACGAAAATCATGTATCATTGGAAAATCAGCGAACCATTTTAGATTAATGGAGACTTTTTGAGACAAAAGCTTTCTTTTCTAATAGTATAATTCATTTTCATATCTTTAGCAGCTATTATTTTGGGTTATTAAACAACACCCTCTAAGATCAAGATAACAAGATGGTTTCTATTCCTATCTGAAAACATTATTATTCATTATTATTAATTACTTTTCACATAGATTAAACCAAACCAAACTTGATCTTTAAAAAGAAAAAAGTTTTAGCTAAATTTCCAGCAGAAATATTTTTATCATATCCTGTAAAAAAAGCATCAGCTAAAAGCTACGACTCACATATGAAGATAAAAAGGAGATGTAGAGATGAATAACCCTGTTTCCTGATCAGAGGACTTTAGATTGATGTTAAATAACAAATGATGTACACATAATGTTTATATGTCAGCAAAGCTAAAGGTCCTGGTCTCACGACAGGGAGTCAACAGCCAGATGTGGATCCAACAAACAACATCAACATTTTCTAGAGTGTTTCTCATGAAAATTTCATACTTGTCATCTTCTGCTTCATGGAAGACAATTAGTTTGACATTTTCATGAGAGAAACCCAAAATAGTGACTATTATATCTTTCTGGACTTTTCAAACCACTCATACCTGAAACTGGCTGCAGTGCAACAAAACCATGAGGCAAGGGTGAAAGCAAATACACTGACCACCCTAGACCAAGAGGAGGCAGCCGAGTGAGAGGACGGATTTCAGAGCTAGAATTTAAGTTAATTGAAGGAATGCAGGACATTTGTTATCAGATACAAGGCACTATAGATTTTGCTATAGAAGGGCTAAATTAGGCGGATTCAGGCGGAGGGACTTTCACCACAAGGAGATTGGGGAAAGAATGATGGAGAGTAAGAAAAGCCGACAGATCCATCCAGTGGTGGAGAACTGTAGGAAGTGCGGGGCCTGGTTAGGACTGCATCTCAGCGCGAAGCATCCATGGAAACCAGCAGCAGAACAACAACCTAAAGCAGGTGCAGAGAAGAGATGTTTTAGTAAATCCATCCTCTTAGAACTGGTTCCATCTTTAATGTTGCTAAATATCTGTTCTACATATATTAAAAAGCTGTGTTGTTCTAGACCTAGAAATAAAGAACTGTGATTTTATTTAAGATCTCAGTGTTGGTGTGTAAAGTAGGTATCTTTAGGCCTGGAATGTCTTGATTGGGTAAAACCACAGCAATTCTGAACAAATTCTTACCAGGGCTGGGACTTCTACGCATGAATTCTGTTTAAATAATTGTATAGACCTACATGAGTTTAAAAAGTTAACACGATTAATAGCATTTTATTTACTTAAATCTTGAGCATTAACTTTTGTATTCTCTGTTCCTTGCATACCTGTACATCTGAAACACAAGCAGTATCATAAGTGTTGGTCCATTGGGTGAATTCAAGATTAAAAAGCCTGTCAGTCAGAAGTTCTACTGTGAATTCCTGGGTGACTGGCAGTCCAACCCAGTCTCATGGGAAAATGTACCCCCACTACGTTGGTCCACACTGCAAAACGTAGTGGAGGTACATTAATGGCCATTTTTTTGTGGTACTGTTACGTTTCTTCTACCTATACGCTTTCTATTGTTTTACGTCCTAGTCATGTGACTTTCAAGATTCCAGCTGGGAGAAGGAAAAAAATAAATATATGGCCGACATTCGCTCATTTTTTTGTGGAAAGATTAATGACTTGAGTTTGTTTTTGCATTAAAATGAGTTTTGATTACATTTCTAGTGAGGAATGTATAGTTTGTTGCCAGAATATTTACTCAGGGAATGTACATATTCACTTGCTTGTTCGTTTCTTGCAAAGATTTTTCAAGATAATGTGAAACTGTAACATTTTGGTATAAACATGGCTGAGATTTCTCTAACTTTTAGTGGGAAAATCAATAATTTCAATCAGTTTCTGCATTTAAATGGGTTTTGATTACATTTATAGCGAGAAGTGTAGGGTTTATTTACATAATATTTACTTAGTGAACATACATAATCACCCGCTTGCTAGTTTTTGCTACGTTTTTCGGATCTCGTCAGGATTATGTGAAATTGCAACGTTTCGGCTGCTACTCATCGCCTAGCATTTAGCTGCCGCCCCGATTCAACATTGAATTCTTTGTGATTTAACTCCATCTGACGGATCAAACCGTCGCCACTGCGTGCGTTGCGTCTGAGGTTGATTTTCAGATCAATGCATTACGTCGTGGCATACGGGAGAAACTAATTAAACTAGTTAAAAAAAAGGATCATGGGTTAAGATCGGATGTGTTTTATTTGGAAATCTACCGGATCCTTTGTGCATTTCACTTCCTGTTTGGTGCGATCAAATTGATGGGTTTTGACCAGATTTTGACCAAAGAGGAACTCAAAAAAACAAAAAACAATTTAAATACACAACCAGCATATCTGGAATCAGTGACAGAGAGCGACTGGGACCAGAAGTTTATTAATTTCTCCCCACTGATTTCCATTCAAAATGTTTTCGATCCCACCGGGCTCTAGGGAAGGGGCGGGCATACCGCCACCTACTGTTCATGAGTGTGTAGCAACATTGTTTTACATCTATTAAATTCTATTTTTTAATTTTGTATTCTGAAGATAAATAAATAATGCTTTCCTTAATCTATCAATATCTTTTATATTTCCTTTATTTCCCAATAATCCTTTAAGATTCCATTCTTGGCCTGTCCTCTTTTCAATTTCTTCCTTTCAGGTTCATATGTTTTGCAGTTCATCAATACATCTGCATTTTCTATCTCTCCACATCCTTCACATTTATCATTATTTTTCCTCCCTATTAAGTATAAATTGTCATTTAAATAAGTATGACCTACTCTTAATCTGATCATTATTATTTCTTCCCTTCGGTTTCTCTCATTAATATTTCTATTTAATACTGACTTTTGTACTTTATATAACCTTCTTCCTTTTTATCATCATTCCACCTTTTTTTTTTGCCATTTTTCAATTTCTTTCCTCTTAATAAATGATTTTCCTTCCCCTTTCCCTAAAGGAATTGTAATTGTTATTTGTCTACTTTTCATTCCACCTAACTTTCCATTAATTAGCTTGAAAACAGCACTTTGTAGGCACCCAGTTTCTCTAACAATGGCCCTTTTTGGGTTACCCTCCATGCATTGGGTGTCAGTTCAGTGGCAGTTCCAGAACATTTTCTTAGGGTTGACCAGGCAGCACAATAATGTGCATGTGGCCAAAGAGTAATAGGGATCAAATTCGGTTCAGAGTCAAGCTATTGGGATCAGGCATCAGGTTCAATTTGCATATTTTCCTAGCCAAAACAAGGATTTGTTGGGCTACTGTAATTTTGAACTGAAAAACGTCCTGAATGGGAAGTCTTCAAACTTGAAAAACAAAGTCCAAAGTTTTTTTTTTTTGTTTGTTTGTTTTTTGTTTTTGTTTTTTTTTGAATGATTATGACCTGGATGTCTAAGAATCTTCACCAGCTTATCAGGGAAATGAATGCCCACAATGTCTGTATTCTCCAAAAGAGAATAACAGAACAGACCTTTATGAGGCCCTTGTTAAAGCTATGCATATATTTATGCATCTATGCTCTTCAAATAACTTTCTGGTTCGACGCAACATTTACATTAAATGGGTTGAGAGGTTGTTCTTTACCAGTAAATACATAAAAGATTCCCAGATGACTGCCGATGCAAACTCTCCCCTATAAAACCTGAAACTAATTCTTATAAGAGAGTAAAATCTGTATTAGTCTTCATTAATTGTAGCATATTGTTGTACATAATCGATTGCTTTATTTTTGGTGTCAGCTTTTGGTCAATATGCTAACCTTAAAAGGTCAAAGTGGGAAAATGTAGTAGTAGTAGACAAATTAGCAATTAGAGGAGGCAATAACAATTACAATTCCTTTAGGGAAAGGGGAAGGAAAATCATTTATTAAGAGGAAAGAAATTGAAAAATGGCAAAAAAAGGTGGAATGAAGATAAAAAGGAAGAAGGTTATATAAAGTACAAAAGTCAGTATTAAATAGAAATATTAATGAGAGAAACCGAAGGGAAGAAATAATAATGATCAGATTAAGAGTAGGTCATACTTACTTAAATGACAATTTATACTTAATAGGGAGGAAAAATAATGATAAATGTGAAGGATGTGGAGAGATAGAAAATGTATAACATGTATTGATGAACTGCAAAACATATGACATATGAACCTGAAAGGAAGAAATTGAAAAGAGGACAGGCCAAGAATGGAGTCTTAAAGGATTATTGGGAAATAAAGGAAATATAAAAGATATTGATAGATTAAGGAAAGCATTATTTATTTATCTTCAGAATACAAAATTAAAAAATAGAATTTAATAGATGTAAAACAATGTTGCTACACACTCATGAACAGTAGGTGGCGGTATGCACGCCCCTTCCCTAGAGCCCGGTGGGTTAGAAAACATTTTGAATGGAAATCAGTGGGGAGAAATTAATAAACTTCTGGTCCCAGTCGCTCTCTGTCACTGATTCCAGATATGCTGGTTGTGTATTCAAATTGTTTTTTTGTTTTTTTTAGTTCCTCTTTGGTCAAAATCTGGTCAAAACCCATCAATGAGATCGCACCAAACAGGAAGTGAAATGCACAAAGGATCCGGTAGATTTCCAAATAAAACACATCCGATCTTAACCCATGATCCCTTTTTTAACTAGTTTAATTAGTTTCTCCCGTATGCCACGACGTAATGCATTGATCTGAAAATCAACCTCAGACGCAACGCACGCAGTGGCAAGGGTTTGATCCGTCAGATGGAGTTAAATCACAAAGAATTCAATGTTGAATCGGGGCGGCAGCTAAATGCTAGGCGATGGGTAGCAGCCAAAATGTTGCAATTTCACATAATCCTGACGAGATCCGAAAAAACGTAGCAAAAACTAGCAAGCGGGTGATTATGTATGCTCTCTGTCACTGATTCCAGATATGCTGGTTGTGTATTTAAATTGTTTTTTATTTATTTTTTGTTCCTCTTTGGTCAAAATCGGGTCAAAACCCATCAGCGAGATCGCACCAAACAGGAAGTGAAATGCACAAAGGATCCGGTAGATTTCCAAATAAAACACATCCGATCTTAACCCATGATCCTTTTTTTAACTAGTTTAATTAGTTTCTCCCGTATGCCACGACGTAATGCATTGATCTGAAAATCAACCTCAGACGCAACGCACGCAGTGGCGAGGGTTTGATCCGTCAGATGGAGTTAAATCACAAAGAATTCAATGTTGAATCGGGGCGGCAGCTAAATGCTAGGCGATGTGTAGCAGCCAAAACGTTGCAATTTCACATAATCCTGACGAGATCCGAAAAACGTAGCAAAAACTAGCAAGCGGGTGATTGTGTATGTTCACTAAGTAAATATTATGTAAATAAACCCTACACTTCTCGCTATAAATGTGATCAAAACCCATTTAAATGCAGAAACTGATTGAAATTATTGATTTTCCCACTAAAAGTTAGAGAAATCTCAGCCATGTTTATACCAAAATGTTACAGTTTCACATTATCTTGAAAAATCTTTGCAAGAAACGAACAAGCAAGTGAATATGTACATTCCCTGAGTAAATATTCTGGCAACAAACTATACATTCCTCACTAGAAATGTAATCAAAACTCATTTTAATGCAAAAACAAACTCAAGTCATTAATCTTTCCACAAAAAAATGAGCGAATGTCGGCCATCTATATTTATTTTTTTCCTTCTCCCAGCTGGAATCTTGAAAGTCACGTGACTAGGACGTAAAACAATAGAAAGCGTATAGGTAGAAGAAACGTAACAGTACCACAAAAAAATGGCCATTAATGTACCTCCACTACGTTTTGCAGTGTGGACCAACGTAGTGGGGGTACATTTTCCCATGAGACTGGGTTGGGCAGTCACCACAGTCATTCTGAACTCATCACCGAGGGGGGTCCCAGCAGACCAAATGTAGCTACCCACTAATTATCTAAAGATGTAGCACTCAGATGGGCTATGTCCCATACATGAATTTGTTTACATTAAAACCTCAACCTGTATGGAGTAGATGGAATTATATCTACTTTTTTAAGTGCCACTGTCAGCCAGAAATACATGACACACAATACATGCTTTGGAGGCACAGATGATAGCAATGCTAATGTTAGTGTCCGCAGCAGCAGGCAGCCCACATCAGACCATATGACAAGCTTCAGAGCCAAAGTAATCATTAAGGCTTAAAAATCAGAGCAGAGTTTCAGCAACTGTTGTCAAACAGAGACAATATGCAATATGACGCTCTCCGGTGTTTGAACTTGGACATATGCATTTATGAACTCCTAATTCAAAGAATGTACTTACTAAGGCAATTCTTATTTTTGCTGAATAAAAACCAAACAAGTTACACATTGTCCCTTAAGGGGCAGTATGCTTTGATGGTATATATTTGTTTTTTACCACATGCAGTGATAGGGATTGTGCTATAATTAATGTTCATGTACTGTTCAAACTTATGTTTCAAAGATGTCACAAAAGGTTTTCTAAAAAAGCTAAATGACCAAAACATTCAATCAGTCTAGTGGACTAATTATCTAGATGATAGATTACAAACAGTAAATAAATTAGAAGCAAAAACGTTTTTTGGAGTGAAAAGGTTGCTAGACAAGTGTGTTTGATTAAAATGTGATTTATTGTAATTCATTAAATACTGACCCTGTAATTAACCTGACACAAAAATTATAATTCAAAGTTATATCACCATTACTTCTTACATAAAAGCCAGAAAGAGAAGAGAAACCTAATGAACTGTTGAGCTAAAGACGGTGCCGACTACAGAAACAGTCCTTGTTAATCTCCTCTGAGAGGGAGGGGCATATCGCAAGGTTTTGTTTCTGTTGTTGGCCCAATTTGCTTGCTAGCTGTGTGTGAGGCACAAAGGGGAATTCAGTGGAACCTGAAAAAAGAGGAGGGGGGAAAGCTGTGTTTTTTGCATCTTAACAGTTGTCACCTGGATATGGAGCTCTCAGAGGTCAGGTCTTTAGGAGATCGCATTGTGTGGAAGTTTCTCTTCGGTTGTGACACTAAATGGTAGAGAAGTACACAAAAGCGCAAAGACCCATCATTCACTCAGCATCAGAGGTTCTGTTTCTTTGATTTTCCTTGTGTGGTTAGAGCAGAACTTTATGCTTGAAATTGATGATTATAAATTAAAGAAGAGGAAACTTACTGGAGACCTGATGAACCTTCTTCACCATTGAATTTTCATTTTGGGAACCTTCTTTAGGTCCTCCGATCCTAAAGAACCACAAAAAAAAACAAAAAACATTCAGTTTTCATTTGACTCTTTACAAACACATAGTTTTGATCAACTCAGACATTGGGTTCTGGCGCTACCTCTGGACACGAGAGGGTGGAGCAAACACTCCATATTTGGGCAGGCAGCTGAAATATCTGACCCCAAACACGGAGCCATCGTGTTTCCCAGTGGGCTGATCCAGCTCTACACCAAACCAGTACCCTGCAACAACACCAGGAGACCAGTTCACATTGGCCCAACAGTCTGGGGCTAAAAGGTCACCTCCCTTCCACACGATCTGCTGGTGATAATAATTTGAGCTAGACCTCAAGTTTGACAGGAACACTTTTCAAAGAGTCAGTTTGACATGCAGCGTACAGAACCAACAGCACAGATCGGGTCAGATGGTCTAGTTATCCAGCCGAAACCTGTCGGCAGCTTCATTAAACATAGGGCTGGGCGATAATTCAACAACGATATATTTCGATCAATAGACGTGTGGCGTAATAGAAAAAAAATAGGCTCGATAAAAGTTCGATAAAAAAACGCAGTTTTCCTTCCTTCTAATTTTAGCCTAGCATGTAGGTTTATGCTAGTCACTACTTCCTCCCAACCAATCACAATCGCGGACCCAGGCACGCCGTCACCAAGTGCCGCCCTCTCAAACCACAACACAGAGCACATGAAGATGTCGCAGCAAGGAGAGGCGGAGGAAATTGTTCCAAAGAAGGGTTTTTGTAGTTCGCCAGTTTGGCAGTATTTCGGTCATGGCAAGTCGGACAAAAAACAAACCACAGTCATCTGTAAAATGTGTCAGGAACCAGTGAAAACGAAGTCTGATAACGCAACCAACTTTTTTTTTTTTTTTTTTTATCATCTCAGCCGCTCACAGCCGCAGGAGTACGAGCTGTGTAGGCCCCGACGCGGCTCTCCTCCAAGGAATCTTCGGGAAAATATATATATTAAGTTCTGGGCAGTTTCCCACGTAGTTTCAATTAGTAGTAACACTTGAGAGAAAAATGCTGAGGGGCCAGCAACTTCAAAGTACTAACTCCGGTTAAAGCAGGAAACTAAGCTGAACCAGGTTCATTTATTTGTTATATTTATTTTGGTCACTTTAGTTTATTCTTTGTCAGTATTTAATAACATAACTCATGTCTCTTAAGTTATTTTTCTTTAAAACAATTCTGTTATGGTTAAAAAAGTTGGTTAAATAAATATTTAATTAGAAGTCTGTGTTTGTGTTCTTTATTAAAATTAAATCATTTAGCAATATCATAAAATGTCCAGGCAGAGCTGCACATAAAATATGGTTTTAAAATCTTTTCAATAATTATCGATATCGATCAATATGCATTTTTTTTTAATCGATAAGCTTTTTTTCTATATCGCCCAGCCCTAATTAAACATCATCCCAAATCAAAGACAGAAATAACTTCAACTGCTGCATAGAGCTACTAGAGCTTACAGAACCAGGGGCTTACCCACCTGGAGCAAAGTCTGTCTTCCCAAAGAAGCGAACGATGCCGAGTTTCTGACCTGCCACCAGAACCTGATCTCCCACCTCCACATTTGTTCCCTCTGGATCAGGACTGGCCACAGACATCTTCTTCCTTTGGGCTGAGGTCACAGACAATATTAGTCACATCTTCATGAGACCTAAACTGGTAGGACCCCAGCCAAATTACAGCTACCCTACCTCTCTCCCTTTCCTTTTGCCTCTCCTCCTTCTTCTCCTTCTTGGTTTTTCCAGTCAAACGAGATGCCAGGTCCGTACGGGGAGTTCTGGGGTTGGATGTCACAGATGATGGAGTCTGATCCACAGCTTTGGATATCTTTGAAACAGGCGCAAAAATACCTGCAGGTCCATACAAAAAACAAAAAATAATGAAGACAACTAATGCATGTTCTTTTCAACAAGAAACCAGTCCAGTAATGTAATTGGGTTACCGAGTTTAGGAGGACAAATGAAGTAGCGAACGCCGCCAACGCTGCCATCATTCTTCCCCTCCGGCTCGTCCAGCTCCACTCCGACCCACTGACCGCTAGCAAACTCAGTGGTTCCACAGAACCTTAGGGTTCCAGTCTGGGACAGAGGAAGGACAATGTTCTGAAATCAGTCCAGATTCTTAGTTGTTTTCATTTTACTTATTTAGATCTCCATTAACTACAACACTTAGAAAACCCTCAGCTGATCACTGAAAAATCAGGTTAGCCACCCATCCATTAATCTACAAACCCACCCAACCGACCCACCCATCCATCCATCCATCCATCCATCCATCCATCCATCCATCCATCCATCCATCCATCCATCCATCCATCCATCCATCCATCCATCCATCCATCCATCCATCCATCCATACCTTCATGTCATCCAGCAAGACGCGCTCTCCCAGTTTCAGTCCAAGCGACGCCAGCATTAGGTTTCCTGGAATGTTGTCGTAGTTGGGAAGAGTGGCCTTTGGAAGGTTACAACTGAGAGGAACAGCATCCAACAGCAACTGCTTAAGATCTTTGGCCACCATGGCTGCCTCAGCTTTGTCCAGACTCATGTCCATAGGGTCAGGAACAACCTCACCTGGAACCTGGCCCTTGTCGTTCTGCAGAAATACAGCCAAGCGGTCTCATTGCAACAGCTTCAGCTCTACAGAAGTTCCTGCTTTTACGTGTTAATTTGTTCACTAATAAAAAGGAGGTAGGTAAGATGATTTTACCCTGACAGTGGGGTTGGCTCCATGCTCCAACAGACATTTAACTGCACCCAGACAGAGATTGGAGGCAGCAATATGCAGAGCTGTGCCATAGTGGAAGTCACTGCATGTTGAGTTTAGCACTGAGGAGAAAGGAGAAGAAAAAGAAGCTAACTTCCTCATCTGGAGTCCAGCTAGGATCTGAAATCAAATCAGGATTATGTTGGAGGGTTCTCACACACCTCTGGGTTTGGCAGCTTTGAGTAGGACTCGGATCAGTTCTGGCACGTCAAAGTAGGCAGCATAGTGCAGCGCGTTCATGTTAGTCCATCGACTTCGAAGACTCACATCTGCACCGAGTGAGATCAGCTGACTGCTGAGTCTCAGCGCTGCTGCCGGGTCGCCTGCAAAGACAATAAGGAGAAAACTGAATGTTGCCCTTGGTAAGAACCATCAGCATATCAGCACGAGACCCCAGTTCCCACCACCCTTCTGCATTTGGCCACATGGCGAAGGATTTGGACGTATAGATAGGAGCTCTCCCAAGTCGAAAAACCAAAATCCCAAAAAAATAAAAACTCGATATAAAAATAATTAAATTGGCAGATGGAAAGATTGGAAGAAAAATAAGAAAGAACCATTGGAGTTAGAGAATCAAGACAACAACGGATGCAAAGACATGACAGAGGAGCACGTACTTGAATGGAGGAATGGACTAGCGAAAATCAGCAGACATAAATTAAACCTCTTATTACATTGAAAAAGGAACCCAAAACAGATATTAAACAAGAAATAAAATAATTCCAACTTTAATGTGGAGCAAAAGTTTAAGGAAAAGTAATAAAGCGCCGGATAAGCAGAGGAAGGAACTCGCCCAAGTTCAAACCAACATCTCAGAGCTAGAAGACATGGGCATGGAAGCTAAATATTTGACACCAACAATGCTCACCCAGATGCGAAACATGCAAGACAGGGTTACAGACCTCCTGGCAAAATCACAAACAAATAATGAGAAGACTCAAAAGAAATAATAGAGACAAGGAAATAATAAGAAGCCTCAATGGTAAATTACTTTAAGAACAAGCTCAGAAAAGATATAGACAGTCTCAAATAAGCAGGATTGGGAATTAAACATGCCCACAGAACCCCACAACACAACCCAAATTCTGGTAAACCACCGAGAGCAATAGTGGTTAACTTTTTAAAATTAGAAACTAAGGAAATGTCCCTGTCATTTTTGCACCTTTAGGCGGAAATTTTTTCTTGCTGCTCTCCTCTGCTTTGCTCCGCTCTCTGCTAATTATTTATTTGTATTTATTTCTTTATTATGTACTTATTCAAGCTGTCTAGCAAGAGTGTTCCCTTTGCTTGGTTCTGCTGGTTCCTGATAAGCAGCAGACGAGCAGCCGCAAGCTTTATTAATAACTCTTTTTTGAATATACCACTATATATACCACTGTCTGTCTGGTTCTGAGCCTTCTCACAGAATAATCTGGCCTAACATGGACCCATCGGCAGACAGTTGTGAGACAGTGGGGAGAGCCTGCAACTCCCTGCCCCTGCTTTGCTGTGTCTTGTCCTTTTCTGAGCTCTCTCTTCATACCATCCGAACTAAAAAAAAAATGAATCTATTCAGCTGGTCTCTCAATGCAATTGATCAAATTTATTCAACTGGAAGACAGGGAAAAAGGGACCTGTCCTGTCCTGCTGGGACTTACTTCGTGGGATACACCATGAACTCCTGGAAAGTGTGGAGGATGGGGTGTTTCACAACGTTGTCACTGGAGGATATCGAAAAAGTATGGATTTTTAGCTTTATGATACTCGGATTTCTCCTGTTTGGAATTGGAGGGTACCTGACGTATCTTCAATTACAGAGGATTTTGGCAGCAATTTTGGAATTGATCACGCTGCTGGCAGCGGTTGACGCCCTCACTAAGGCTGTGAACAAGCAAGATCGGGAGCTGAGCCGTAAGCAGACTGACTGAACCAGAACGTTATAGATTCATAGCTTTTTACAAAGTTAGAACAACGGTTACTAATCTTTTATCTGATCATGTTCTCAAGAACTGTATTTGTAGTCTAAGGTCATTCTATCCGCTTTGAAAACTTGGATCTCTTTAAGAATTAGATGCTTTATGGGGATGCTCTTTTCCTGTTGATGGACGTACATATCAACCAAGACACCTAAAAGGACTCCTCCTTAGGGTCCTCTACGAAATGTTTTCATATCTTTGTGGATCAATAACAACAATTGTTTTATTTAAACACAAAGAAAAAGAAAAACTGGATTTAAATCAGGCAAGTTTCTCACCAACTCCATGAGCTCCAGCCTTACAGCTGTAATGAAGTAGTGTCATATCGGTCAAACCATCACGGTCGTTCACATGGCAACCACGCTTCAGGATCTAAGAGATGAAAAAACTGAGTTAGCTGCATCCTGCTGACTGACATCAAAGACACAGCTGAAGAAAGATGTGACCTACCTACCTACCTACCTACCTACCTACCTACCTACCTACCTACCTACCTACCTACCTACCTACCTACCTACCTACCTACCTACCTAACTACCTACCTACCCACCCACCCACCCACCCACCCACCCACCCACCCACCTACCATCCATCCATCCATCCATCCATCCATCCATCCATCCATCCATCCATCCATCCATCCATCCATCCATCCATCCATCCATCCATCCATCCCTTTACCTTTTCCACATTTCCCACCTCAAGCGGCTGAGTTTTACTTTATTTCTAGTGAAAACATTTAATAAAGGCCATTTATTTGTAAGCATCCCCTTTTTCTTCCTTTTTTATTCTGATAGCTCTATGAAAATTATTATGATAATTTATTATGATAAACTTTCTAGAATTGCACTTCTTAAGGTGCCTGTATGTTAGAGTAGCTCTGCCAGCTTGACTGAGATTCTTTTTTCAGATAATTTAAATCCTTCCAGTTTTTGAATCAGTTTCTTTTTTTTATTTATTTTTCGCCTATGCTGATTAATGCTGGAGGGATTTTTATTGATATTTATGTCCTTTAAGGAAACTTATGAGCAACAAGTTACATAGAAAGGAGCAACTATTTAACATCTCTAAAGCTGAAATAATACTTCAACTACGTCAGCAAGTACCAGCTGATTTGATAAAGAAGGTTGAAAAGCAGGAGCAAGGTAAAGAAGAAACTTAAACCATCTCTTCCATAAATCATCATTGGGAATTTGAGTTCTTTAGGAAAAAATTTAGAAGAACTCCAAACCCTAGCAAGGACCAAGCCAGAATATCGGCAATGCAGCATTATATGTTTTACTGAAACATAGCTGCAGGATCACATCATTGGACTCAAGTGTCTATCTGCTAGGCTTTCTGATCATACGAGCAGATTTAAAGAACTGATGTAAACCCACACGGTTTACATTTTATCACTGCTGCACTTTATCGGATGGAAATGTTCATTTCACTTCCAAGCTGCTGCTCATTTACTGTCTGAAAGCTGTTAAAAAATAATAATAATTTTGTTTTGTACACACTGTGTTTACAAAATGACAATAAAAACTATCTAAGTCTAAGAAGACTAGGAAATTCAAAGGAGGTGGGTTGGCAGTGTTTGTAAACAACAGATGGTGTCACCCAGCACATGTTACAGTGAAGAACTGGCGGTTTCTCAATTCACAAGAACGCGAGTACAGACTTGTGTCTGTACACAAGAATGTATGGACTCTGGAAGAACAGGAGTACGCAGAATAAATATGGGTAAATTGGAACGAAGCTTGTGACGTCACCACACGCTCTGCTCATCTGGAGCTGCATTTCAGCTCCTGTTATTAGTAGTCTCTAGATTAAAATAAATTCTTAAATTTTTAGTTGGGTAATAGTAACAGTCAGATAAACACAAATCAAATGAAAAATTTGCAAAATAAAACAAAAAAACTCGCCATCAGAGCCGGCAGTATATCGCAGACGAGTATGCAGTGTGCAAAGTACCCCTGACATTAGACCTGGCTGCTGTAGCCTCGCAGTTCTGCTGGTTGCCACGGTCCTCTCAACATCTGAACTTTTTTTAAATCAAGCACTAAATCAGTTAATGGGACATATATTGACTCTTAAATGTTCTCACCTCAAATTATCTTAAAATGTACTTTTATAGAACAACGGTAACAGAAAAAAAAACCTTTAACTTAATACTCTGAGCTCTGTGAGCGCTCCACTGGAAGAGGCTGCAGCCGCTATGCATGCTGGGAGAGCTGTCATCTCGAGAAGGGATAAGTCTGCTCTAATGCTTACTTGGTAAAGAGGGAGAGGAGAGAACAACATCCAGTGACTTTGTCTGTTCTCAGTCTTGTGTTCTTGTGAAATGTAACAGTACTAAGGCTGAGGCTGATGATGTTTCACGAGCACATAATAACCTGAAGACGTTCAAAGCTGCTGGAGACAAACCCCAGCAGACCAAAGACAATCAGCCAGAGGAGGTTCTTGAGCCTCTTTTCAGGGTGTTTTATGTTGGAACGGGAAATAATTACAGTTCAAAGGATGTGAGTACTTTAGTTTGTGGTTGCAGCAACTGCAACACAGAGAGAAACAATGACATTTACCACAGCAGAAGAATTGTTACTTTTATTCTGAAGCAGTTTGTTCAGTTTATCCCTGTCCAATAATTTCTGGTTCTGAGTCATGCAACCGCCAACTCCAGGATTTTTTTCCCTCTTCCACTCTCAGTCAGCTTCATGCTCAGTTATTGTAACGTCTGAATAATGCTCACCAGCTTGTGCCTCTCTCTGTCCGAAGCCATTTTATCTGTGGCTTACAAAAACCAAAACTATTCATGTTTTTGTCATAACAATGTAAGTAACTCTTTAAAGTCATAGGAAAGTGGCTGTTCCAGGGATTGCAGTTCCAAATTCTCCTAAGTGGTGCGCGACTTTACATGAGTAAATATAGTAAATGTGAATGGTAGATAAATAAGGGGGCGGGATTGTTGTAGCGAAAGGTTCACAGGCAAGATTGGTTTTGGCTGGTGTCTCAGAACCAGTTATCAACTTAGCGCTAGTAGGTTCCCAATGGGAAATTACATTGGGACCACGTAGCACATGAAACTATTCAGTTTCAAGTTTTCATTTTTGGTTTTGCTAGTGATTTTGTTTATCCTGTGTTGCTGTTAAAATAGTATTTTTTTTTTTAAATTACATGTTAGTTTACTCTTATTTGGTGTTTATTTTAGGTATTTTATTATTATTATTTTTTTACATATTCTCTATTCAACATTCCTATTATTTCTTGAATTCATGCTGTAGTTCTTGATATTTATAGTTTTCTGTTATCTTCAGATTAAGTTTTCCCATTGTGGATTATTTATCTAAAGTTCTCCAGTCCCTTCCCCACACTCTTTCAAGCACTACTGTATTACCCTGGTGACTCTGCTGTCCCCTATTGCTACTCTCCTTTCCCACTTTCCCAGCTTTTGCCCTTTTCAGATTTTGGGATTGGGCCATGTGTCAGTCTCATCGAAGCAGAGCTACATGTGTCTAGCTGATTTACCTGAACCTTGCACACTCTGCAAACAAATTAATCCTTCTGCTTCTACTGGCTACATTTGGCATCAAGATGGATGAGTCCGACCAGCGCCATCTCTCTGGGCTCCGACATGTTTTTTGGATGTACAGTGTGAGAAGTTAGATCGCATTAGATCGTATCGTGAGCTGTGAAATTTTAAACCCTGTGGCGGCGGTGTACAGTTTGAGCTGCAGCTGAATATAAAGATTAAAAATTTCATACAGTGCACGTTTGCCCTTAGATCTCTTCTTGTCTCTTCTGTCTACACCTGCTCCTAATTAGGTGATTATGCCATTCATTGTCTGCCTCCCATATATATACTCCTCCTCTGCAGTTACTTTTGCCTGGATTATCTTAATTCTCTCCTTAAATCATGTGTTCCCTTTAATCCCATTCCTGTGATTAATTCTGCAAGGAACCTGTAGTGGCTAAATGTCCGTGCTTAAAATAATGACCATTTCTTTCTTCAGATGCATGCAAATAACCACTCTGCCAGACGGAATGAACGAGTCTACGCGTGTTAAGAGTTTGAACGACGGTAGAAAAAAGTGTGTTTGCCCCGTCTTTATTTTCTTTACATTCCATAGACGCCCGAGCTCTGACACGTCATTGTTCAGCGTCAGTTCCTATTGACTAACAATAAATTAATCTAAGCATTAAACTGAATGCAGATTAACCTAGAAGGAAATTATTAACGGTGTAAAACAGTAACGTAGTTATAATGCAATTGTAAATATTCTATAATATGCAAATACTAAACATATCCAAAAATAATATGTGCGTAAATTACTGAATAGAAAAATGGCACCAACAGAACCACCTCAGCTTCTGTCTCTGCATTTGGATTCTCAACACACCTCCCCACTGCTTGGGAGGTAAAAACTGGTGTTGCATTGCTCCTAATCTGTCCGGGTGTGACAGTTAGTGACAGTGTCAGGCTAGCTAAAAATAAACAGATCCTGTCTTGTCATTCATTTGAAATTATGCTGTTATGACCCAACCAACACAATAGTCTAAAAGGGAGGGCATCATTTTTTCACCTCATTTCCAATGATGTCAATCTTGTGCTGCACCTGAGGGACCCACTGCCGGACGATGGCAAACAGTTCGGGGATGGTGGTCCGGGGGTCGGTGAGGATCTCCTGACATGCAGGGTCGTTGGGGTCAAAGAAGGTGAATGCTGCAGAAATCAAAATCAGTAAAGAGTTAGAAGACAACTGCAGCAAAGGCCCAGGTAGGCAAACAGGATCCCAGAGAAACAGAAAGTTTTCTCTGTGTCATCAAACCACAGTGTCTTAACTTCTGTTTCCAGCAGATCGAACATGCAATGTTGAACGAAGTACTCAACAGTAGTACTGTAGTGCTTGAGTGAGAGCATTGGTACTCATAGTCAAACCTTAGTCAACTACAAGTAAAAGTTAATCGGTCAAACATATACTCAAGTTATAGTACTGAAGTACTCATTTTTGAAAGAAATTAAGTATTTAAAAGTACATGTATTTCAAAACTATCAATAAAATTTTTGAATATCAGTACATTTCTGTATAATTTTTAGAGTCATTTTAAAGAACCACATAACTTTCAGAACCCAGCAGATGTGTAGAACCACCAACAAATTCTATAAAATACCTACACCGCCTGTGGTACCTGAATTTCAGCATTGAAAATTCCTAAGAAAATAAAGTTAGCTATTTGATTATTTCTTATCAAAAAAAAAAGATAACAGAAGTGCCTTGATTCTCCTCACGCCTTAATAAAATGTATGAATTTCCAATATCTGCCCCTTAGTTTTTCACATTTCTGGAATGTCAGGAAATCTCTAAAACATTGGTGTCAAAATTTAGTACTTAGGGCTGCTATTTTGCATGATGAAACTGCATTTTAAGAAATAAAAACAGCAACAACAGATTACAAAATCAAGCTGAGCCAAAACTACAAAGTAACTAGCAGCTTCCTAGAAATGTAATGGAGTGAAAGTTACCACCCCAAAACTTACTCAAGCAGAGTAAAGATACTCAAAAAAGTACTTAAGTGCAATGATCAAGTAAATTTACTTTGTTACTTTCCGACACTAGCTAGAAGTCACATAATGATCTCTTATTAGAGAATTTATTGTGGTTTTCTCTGCTTTTAAATAATCATTCCTCCTCTTCCATGATAAACTGTTTAAGCTGCTTTTCTACTCTTTGCCTGTCAGGACTTCTTGACAGACAGCAGTACAAAAAAAAATGATATCTATAGTATTAGATAGAAATACATCAATCAGTTTCTTTCTTTGTCTCTTCGTCTCCATTATAAGCAAATACTTTGATCTGCAGTGAATTAAATGCATGAGAAGGTGAAATCAGAGCTCCTCAGAGCTGTACAGCATATTTCCACAGAAACAGTTACCTGAGGTAAAACTTCCTCTATCCTACAGACAAAGTTAACAGAAGTAAAAATCAATTTCACTGTTTTTTGTGCTTTAGAACTAAATACTTGTAGGATCACTCAAACTGAATTGTTCTGAACTTGATTGGTGATTTTGAAATAAAATACATTATCCAAGAATTAGTTTAAAGATCTGTAATCATGACTTACTTCTATTTAATTAATATTCATTCAATTACTAAAAAAAGATAAATCTAAGAAGGTCTTCAGGTAAACCATGTCTTTTCAAAGCGGTATTGACACAGTACATTCTTCAAAGGCATATTTAAGGCGGTAAAACATACCATAGTCTTTGGGAAGTGGGGCCTGGGCTGAGGGGTGCACCATGGCTCGGCGGGGTGGTTCGTGAACCGGACTTTGATGCTCAGAAACTGAGATCATCTCAGTCTCTGGTTCCACTGGGGGATCCTCCTGCCCTTGCTGCTCCTCATGCTCCTCCCTTTCTCCCTCCTGCTCACCTTCCTCCTCGTTCTCTACCTTGGATTTCTCCTCCTCTAGCTCATATTCCTCCTCTTCCTCCTCCTCTTCTGTCAACTCCTCCTCCCTCTGAACCCTAGCTTCCTCCTGCTCCTCGTCCTCATGCGTCCCCTTCTCCTGTTCCTGCACATTCTCTTCTTTAGTCATGATGACGAATGCTGCAGCTGGGCCCAACAGAGGGAGACAAAATTAAGACAAAGATTAGGTAAATCACAAAAATGATACATGCAATGTATTCTGGCCCTTTACACACACACTGTAAACCCGAATGCTCAAAATAATTAATTAGAATAAGTACAATGAACTTAAAATCATCTTAGAAGTTCTACTTACTTAAAAATGTTGAGTGCCAATAGCTTGTTCCCTCTTTTTAAGTTATTTAAACTTGTAATTTTTGATTAACATTAACTTTTTGCAGGTTAATTAACTGCTACTTAAAATAATTAACTCAGAGTTACTTAAAATATGTGGATTAAACATGGATTTTGTTTTTGTTAAAGAACTGAACTCAATTAAATTCAGAGATTTATATTTGTAAATGTATAAATTCTCTCTCTCTCTCTCTCTCGCGCACGCACACACTAAATAAGTATGCTTTCACCGGAAGTGCTTTTATTTTGTAGTATTTGCGTGCGTTCAGTAGACCGGAGCCGACGAGCAAAAGAAAGGAGCGGGAGACTTAACGACAAGAGTACACTAAGTTGTGAATGTAAGTATCCAAGAAGTTGCTTGAATGTTTGTTCCTTGGGGTTAAACGTGTTGTTAAAACCGACAAGGTAAGTTACGTTAGCCGTTTTGCGTGGCTAACCGTTAGACGGTTAGCAAGCTAACATGAAAAGTCACCCTGCCAGTTAGCTGTAAAGGCTACGTGGCTAGGCAGGTAGCTGTAAAACCTGGTGATGCCTAAGTTGCAGTGGTGGATAGTGAGGTATCACGACAGAAGCTAACTAAAGCACCATGTGCTGTGCATTTAGCTAGAAATTTAACTTCGGAAAAAAAGTCCCGTTTTGTTTTTTGAACTTTTTGGAAAGCTAGAGATTGAAGTTATTGTCTGAAAGTTAATTTAGCTGATTTAAAAAAAAAATTTTTTTTGTTGATTGGTAGGAAAATAATTTATGAATGATACTAGCCCAACTTTATGTAACATTGAAGTAGTGGTTAGCGCGAACGACCCATGTATGGAGGCCTTATATATAGAGATATCTGTGCCATCAATTTGAGCGCGCAGGAACCAATCCGAGCGCGCGCAAAACCGGTCTGGCGCGCGCTCAACTCTGAAAAACCCTCTCTAAACAAGCTGTGTGAAGCTGACACCCCACCCAAGTCAAAAAACTCTGCAAATAGACTGAATTGTTAGTGCAACGTTAGTGCAGATTTGTGCAGAAAAAAATATTGTTTGTGCTACTTTTGTTTAAGAGATATTAAAGATTATTTTTTAGGTCATCCAGAGGTCACCATCCCCCCATTAAACTCCAATTTGAACCAAAGTGGTCTCCTTTTTAGTGCTTTTAAATTTGTGCTATTTTAGTTTTTAAGATATAATCATTAAAATTTTTGGCTGATGACATCACCATCCCCCCATCAAGCTCCGATTTGATCCAAAGTGGTCTAATTTTTTAGTGCTTCGTTTGTGCTGATTTGTGCCGTTAAAACCAACATTTGTGCTGCTTTACTTTTTAAGATATAATAAATAAAAATTTAGGCCGGTGACGTCGCCATCCCCCTATTAGAGAGCTGCGGAAGTGAACAAGTCAGCAGCAAAGGAGTCTCGTCTAAGTTAGTTTGAGTCACCTATGCATGTTAGTGGATGTTTCAAGTGTGTAACTGATATGTAAGTCATCAGTTACACACACTCCCTGTAAAGTCGTGTGAGGACTTCAAATTTGCCAAACGGTCAATGCCATTTTAATAACTCTTACATTTAATGTCATAAGTTACAAATTAAAGCTTGATGCATTTTATTTAAGCATAAAGAAGTTGGTTAATTGAAATGACACTCAATTGCCTACGTGCTGTGCACTTCTAACATCATCCTTCTGGCGCATCTCAGTTATTTTTTTAAACCAGTTTCCTGCTCAATGTGCGGAAAATAAGGGTCAACAATGTGAATACCACTATATTATTATATCTTAAAAACTAAAATAGCATAAAATGATCGTTTTAACTGCACAAATCAGCACAAACGAAGCACTAAAAAAGGAGACCACTTTTGTTCAAATTGGAGTTTAATGGGGGGATGGTGACCTCTGGATGACCTAAAAAATAATCTTTAATATCTCTTAAACAAAAGTAGCACAAACAATATTTTTTTCTGCACAAATCTGCACTAACGTTGCACTAACCATTCAGTCTATTTGCAGAGTTTTTTGACGTGGGTCGGGTGTCAGCTTCACGCAGCTCTCAACACACTGTTCTCGTGCTCAGTTTCATCTCTGCGCATGCTCGGATCCGTCTCTGCTCGCGCTCGACTTGCTCTCTCGCGCTCAACACCAGCTGTGCGCTCGGCTGTTTCTGCGCTCGGAACTTCAGCAATGTATGTAAATGAACCATGCCATCAGCCAATCACGCTCAGCTTCTTTTCATCCAATGAAAGCATTCGTTCCTTCTTCTTTTATATCATGGCGGATCTTTAAGGTGCATACCGCCACCTACTGTTCATGAGTGTGTAGCAACATTGTTTTACATGTATTAAATTCTATTTTTTAATTTTGTATTCTGAAGATAGACGACAGACTATTGTGATGTCATGCCCACCGGTCAAAGAGCTACTGGACCTCTGGCCAGCTCTTCATATGCAGTCTGAGGTAATGTGGATCAGCTCTTTTGTTGGTTTTATATTTGCTACTGTATGTCACTTTGTAATGTTGCCAAATTTCATTAATCATTAAATAAATAATTTAAGAAAAAATAAGAATTACTGTACTGCCCTTTCCTCAATGCAGGTGTATGCAGAGTTCCAAAGGATAACAAACCAGAACCTCCCAAACACTTTCTATGCCCAGCTTGATCGGCACACTCCTCGCTTGATGGCTTTATTCAGGCAGAAAGCTTCCAAAACTGGAAAGACTGCTGATGCTTTGGCTTACATTTTCAAAGTCCATGATGCACAGGTGATTATACATTTCACAGGTCTACTGTTGGTAGTTTATTGCTTAAAATAAGCTGTTGAATTCCATAATTGCATCAGACGAGTCAGCAGGCTATCATAGTGGATTTATGTGCAGATTTTGGTAATTGGTAATTAGCTGGAACTGTTTGGCATTGGCTTTAACTAATGAACTGTATTTGCACTATTTTTATTTTCTCAGGAAATACATGATGTCCACACGAGACGGACCACTGTTCTCCATGCCCTTCCTGTTTATCTACGTGAGGTAGTTTCTGAATTCTTCAGATCATGTGTGGTAAGTCTCAGTAGAGAGATCTCAGGCCTACCCAGTAGGGCTTTAGAAAAGTCAGCTGCAAAGAAAATCAAGTAGCCATCATTAGCCTAACAGTGGTACACATAAAAGTCATCTCTCATTCTCAGCAAACAAGAGCACAATGCAACAAAATGAACAGGAGTCTTTTAGACTGGTGTATTTATTTTTAATAATAGGACGATCATCTGTAATCAAAATCGCTTCAGCCATAGTTTCTGTGAATGTGATTTAGTATATGATCCCCCTTTCATTTTTTTTAAGGACGGTATGGATGAACCAGACCTGGGGGATGCATCAGTGGCCCTACTTACAGCTGTCAGTGACGATGCCGCAAGTCCAGTTCACTACCACCCAGTGAGAGTTTCTGTCGTCCTAGAGGGGGATGTGGTTGTTGACCTTCCCAGGCTTGCTGATGCCTTCCTGGTAATATTTGGACTGATTTATGCTCTACACCTCAGCTATCCCAAGGGACTCACCAACACTTTTGAGTTCACACAGAAAATCTTGCTTGGTCTTGATGACTCTAAACTATCACCTAAGCTGCAGACTCTTAAAAATGACTTGATGTTATATGTGTAACTCAAGACCCATAAAGTAGTGGTGGATTCTGATAGCTCACTCTGTTAGAGCATAGTCCACAGTCGCCAGGTCCATGTTTGTTCATTGTTAATGTTAAAGTTCTGTTCTACTCAACTGGTTTTCAGCCAAATGGCATAAAGTTGACGCTGCCTGTACTTAAATTTTGTTTTTAACTAATACAGGAGTGTATTAAGTGTTTATACATATACAGTATATTCTTAATCTTTCTTGAAGTTGCTATAAATAAACCAGATACAGTTTTGAATTTTTTGCATATTTGGTTGTGAAGAATTTATAAGCAATTTGTTATACATTGCTGCACTGCAGGTTTACAACCAGATGGCCAAAGGTGTGCCTTAACAAATGTTTCTTATGTCTGTATGTAATTCTTTTTTTTTTTCTTTTGTCAGTTGTTTTTCAAATATTGGTTCATATGAGCAAATCTCTCTAAACCCCTGGTAATGTTGTTTTAAAAGTTTTCTAAATTATTTGTGACAAAGATCTGTTCTTATGTAATTTAAACTTTTCTGAGTTTGAATATTTTTACTATGGTTTATGTTAAAAGATAAACAAAATGTCCAGTATACTTGTTAATTGTTTTTTTTTTATTTATATATATTTTGTGTTTAAAATACAACAGAAAGGTGTATGAAAAAATTCAGAATAGAAAAAACCAAATTATTTTTTACTTTTGTGTCAAGAGTACTTATTATCTTTAAGGCAATCAGTTGCCACAAATATTTTAAGTTTGGAGTGAAATGATTTTGAGTTGTAACAAGTCTATGCTTTTGAGTCATGTTTAATGAGAAGATTGAAAGAAAAAACTAATAAATGTTAAGTTCATTGAACCTAAAATCCTGAGTCTTCATACTTGAAATTATTAAATTTGCTGTAGTTATTTCAATGAGAAAGATAAATAAATATTCTGAGTAGAATAAACTGAAGAATTTTGAGTTGACTTGATTGATAAATTTAATTAACTTTTAATTTTAATTTACATTTCAAATAAACTCAAAATATATAAGTTATGTCATACTCAAATGTATGAGTTTTAGAACTCAAAAGAATTGTGGCAACTGATTGCCTTACTTTTTTTGAGTACTGCTAACTTATTCGGGTTTACAGTGCACAGACATATTTTTAAATGCCACAAAACCCAAATGTTTCTCATTTAAATTAAGCTGACCGGTTTCTGGAATCACAGGCTCTATACAAGAACTTTAGAGAACAACAAGATAAGGTACAGTTTTTCTTTAAAACCTGGTCATTGTGAAAGACTGGTGAGAACCAGAGCAGCCTTTGTTGGAAAATATCTGAAGTCCTGTTTTCAGTTTACACAGAATCACAGAAAAGATGCGATGAGGGTGATCTGCTCAAACTTTTGGCTTACATGGACGACTGTATGCCCTAATCCATAATCTAATTTTACATATACAATGTTTCTTAAATATACTTTAAATTCATTTTCAATCAATTGAATAAACTGAGCTCATTCTCATTTGAGAATTTGACTTGTGTATATGTTAGGCTTGCCATCCAAGCACCTCCAAAATCTTGACAGCTTTATGACATGATGTGCTGAATGTACTTTCACCAAGCAATATTGTTTTCCTCAACAGTAGAGAGAGAGAGAGAGAGAAAGAGAGAGAGGAGAGAAAGAGAGAGAGAGGGAGAAAGAGAACAATGCACCTAATTAGGATTTACTTGTTTAGGTTATTTACATATAATACAATGGTAAGAAGAGACACTGAAGTAAAACAATTTTGAATTTCTTTCCTTAAAACTTTTTAGGTGCTGATGAAAACAAGACAGTCATTAATGTTGTTACTCAGACTGTTCTTAACTGTTTGATATAAAAAAAGGATGGTTCATTTTCTGGAGCTTTAATGTAATGCTAAAATGCTGCTAGCTCCTCGAAAAATAATGGGAGCTAAGATCTGTCCTTAGAATAAGAAAGGGAATCCTATCATCAAAGCAACAAACTGAAACTTTTCCACTTTTCCAACATGTGTAAAACAATGTTATTATTCATCTCGTTGCCAGAGGCAGGAAAACATCTGCAAAAATGTGAGAACTTTAGCTATGGTCTTTTTAACCTGACTTGATTGATTATGTCACAGTAAGTAAGAAGAAGAGTGTCATCTAGTGTTTGTAAATGGTAATTGCTGGCTGCAGTCAAAATAGTGGACAAAGAGAGACCCTTATGGAACACTTCAGTTTTGTCTAAACTGGGGGACAACCTAACTAACTCAAGACATCTTTTGGATGTAGCATTAGCAGCATTTCCAGTTAGCCATGGTTTGTTTCCTGGTCTCTTACAAAATATATGAAAAGTTACACGAGCAAAAATACCTACAAACTGCCTACAGGTGAGTCTCTGAATTGTGAAATTCCCAATTTCTATGGAATAGAGAAAGGATTAGTGACAGCAATTGACGCAATTATTAGCACCCCTCCAGGATTGATGTCAATATAGAGGAAAGATCAAAATACCACTTTGTGGAGAGGGTGCTCTTGTGAGCATTTCTGGTTTGCACAAAGGGCCTAAAAAAAAAAAAAGCCAGTCTCACAGTCCTGATTTTATGGAAGATTTTAATTAAAGTCAAATACCAAGGCTCTGTCATGACTGTGGCGCTGATGAATGGTTTAATTATTCATTTCATTCACCTGTCCAATTGTGCCCGGTTTCTCATCTGAGCCACCTGCTCCTGCCTATATTTAAGTGGCTTGCATCCGGTCATTAGGGCCACATTATTCTCGTTTTCTCATGCCAGTAGTGAGAATGTTTTTAGCGTACTTGAGTAGGGCTGCGTACCCAACATCAGTTCTTTTATGGTACCGACCAAAATGCTTCGGTTTTACAGAGTATCAAAACATGCCTCCTCTTTCTGTGCCAAGTTTCGGTGATTGGCTGTAACATTTAACGTGATTGGGTTATCCAAGAAAAATACATACGGGGTCACGCCTACAGCCAGGGTTCAAGTGTATCTGTTGTGAACTGCTTGCGAGAGTTGTGGAACCCCTTTACCCAGGTAAAAAGTGTGCTTTCACTTTTTTAAGACTGATACCAATAGTGCGCAATGCAATACATGCAAAAAGGTCATTGTTGCTAAGGCTGGCAATACGACTAATTTGAGTGAATCAAAGTATCACCCCCCAGACTCTGCCTCATCAGAGAGTGCCGAGGACGGCACTGTGTCTGTGTCTATTGCAACAAATGCTGAGTTAGCCTTGTAGCATTATTTTAGTGCTGTATAGCTAGCTAAATCAAAAGCTTACACTTGTAACCTGTAAAATTATGCTCATCCATTGGGTCCGCTGGTTAAACAGCTAACCTTATATTAACTGTTATTTTATTTTTATTTTCTTCACAGTAGCATCTGACTCTGATGTGAGGAGGAAAAAGCCAGTCAGCGTAAATCCGTCTACCCTAACCTCTGTGAATGCAGTGACCTGGTGGTGGAATGTGAGTGACACTATGCCAATGTTAAACTTGGCAACCAGGTATTTTTTGTGTGCAAACATCATCCACACCTTTTCTACTGCTGGAGAAACTATAAGTCAAGTGCGGGCTTCTTTTTCTCCTGAGAAAGAAGACATGTTAATTTTTCTAAAGAAAAACTGCTAAGTAAAAAAGTCCTCACAATGTAACAATGAACATTAGACACTGACTTGTTTGCAACTGTTCTTTTGTACTGAAAAAAAAAAAATATATATATATATATATATATATATATATATATATATAAACGCTGCTTAAGCTAATTCAAATGAAATTAAAACCAAAATAAGTAGCCAACCTTATCACTGTCTGTAACCTACTAACACGGTAAGGAAAGCATCAGATGAGCTACCTGAGAAACTAACGTTACGTTTCCCCACTTTAAAACGAAACAAACATGGTTACTCATCCTGCTGATCAGCTCTCTTCACTGCCACTGAAGGCTCCAACGTGTTTTCTTTTCAGGTGCTGCGTCATAACAGTGGTGCTTCCGTGCCATGTTAATGTTGGGAGCTGGAGAAAATCCCATCTTTCTCCAGCAGAGTCCGCCGTGGATCCTCTGAGGGAGCCTCCTGCACAGGTGCAGCTCATCAAGACCATCAGAGGATCCACTACATAAGCTGCCTTCAGACCTTGCCTCAACGCCGCAGTGTTGTTCCAGTTGGTCAGCGCTAAAGCCTTGCTCCTTGTGAATCTCCATGACTTTGAATCCAGACTGGATTCTAACTTCTCTCTCTGTGTTCCCAGGAAACCCGAGTCTCCTCTGTGAAAGCTCTAGGAGAGCTAACCTGCCGAGCCGACCCTCTGAGCCAAACCCTGAAGACTTTCTGAGAACCCCCAAGCAGCTCAGGACTAGAGCTGGAAAAACCAAACCAAGGTCTGCCCGAGCTAGACGTGAGATGCTGAAGCAGCTACGGGCTCTGCTGATAAACTCTTCTCCAGAACCAACAGAAACTCCCCCAAGGAGAATAACTCAAGAACCTTCAAGTTACTATCTGAGCTCACTTGAAAAACAAACCCTGCCAGCAGTTCATAACAGCTCTGTCTCTCACGCAGACTCCAGTGAAACCAGGACCCAGGCCCGAACCAGATTCCAGTACATTCTGTGTTTGTGCTTTAATAAACTGTTAAACTTTTATCCTCGTGTCCGCCTTGTGGTGTTCTGCATAACTGGGTCTCCATTTGAGAACCCATCATGACAGAACACTGCGGCCAAACTCAAGGCCCAGCAGAACATCTCCGTCAACTACTAGAGGAGCGGGATGCCCAAATCCACAGACAGGTTCAAACTCTGAGTGAGTTAAATTCTCAAATTGATTTCCAGGATCATCTTGTCCGTAATTTCTCTAGTAGATTGAACAATGCTAACGCTACCCCTTCTCCACAACCATTTCCGGGTCCTGTTCCCCCTCCGAGGTCACCAGCAGTGACGTCATCAGAGTTCCGCCCCAGTCTACCAGAAAAGTTCTCTGGCAAGATGAAAGATTGCAGGGGATTTTTATTTCAATGTTGTTTGATTTTTATGAACTCCCCTGCTTGTTTTCCCACGGACCACAAGAAGATAACATTTATTCTTTCTCAGTTAACAGGAAGAGCCTTGGAATGGGCTCAGGCCAGATTTGCATCCGACGACAGCTTAAACTGTTATTTTTCAGACTTCATCTCAGAATTTAACCAGGTATTCAATCAGGAAACTGACCAAGCTATGTATTCCAGAGCTCTTTTCAGCCTCAAACAGGGAAATTCATCGGTGGCAGACTTTTCGATTAACTTCCGGGTTAAGGCGGCAGCTTCCGGTTGGAACCAAAGCGCCTTAAAGGGAGCATTCTTCATGGCATTAAATGAACAGATTAAGGATGAACTAGCAACCCTCGACGAACCTGCTTCCCTCGAAGATTTAATCCGCCTCTCCATTAGACTTGATAATAGGATTCGAGCCAGAAACAGTTCTAAGAAGCAGAGTAATTTCTCTCCTGCCTCTCTTAACGTGACTGTATGTTCTCCCTCTACAGAGCAGATGCCCACTCAGAGGTCTAAGCCCCAGTCTCTTCCATTGCCGGTTCAGACCTCTCATTCGGGAGAAGGGGACTCCGAACCCATGCAGGTGGGACACACTAGGCTTACTCCTGAGGAGAGGCAGAGGCGATTCCTAAGTAAACTATGTATCTACTGCGGCGAGAGTGGACATTTTATCGCCTCCTGCCCGGCAAGATCAAAAGCCTGGGCCCGCCAGTGGATCTGAGGAGTCTGGCGGGCCAAATTAACACAACAAAATCTCCTCGTTTGTTGCTTCCAGCCACCCTCTTCTGTGATAACCAGAGTCTCTCTTTTTCCGCCTTCATCGACTCAGGCT